ATCGAACGCATGTCATGGGCCCCTCCGTCTGAGACTGTTTGACCGCTCATCCTTTGTAAACGTAGTTCTTTCCTCTCTTATTCATGACGATGAGTTCAAAGAGTTATGTGGTACCTTAATGAGTCGTTTGACTTTATCAGGCAGTGCGGTTGAAGTTGCTCAGTTCTTATTGTCCAGGGTACAGCGTTGCTCCCTTACTTCTTCCTCAAAGGAACGGGAGTTCTGGATCGATTCTATTCGTTTTCTAAAACCGGAATCGATCGAATCCGTGTTTTCCTGTTTGCTAAAACAGTGTCCACATCCGGAATATGTCCAGCTATTTTTGAAAAATGTTTTTAGGGACCCTTTGGACCCATCATTTAATTCTTTTCTAAAGGTTTTTCGACGTCTTGTATTTGTTCGATATTTCCAAAGTGATCAATTATTACGCAATCTGTTTAGTGCCCTGGGTAACCTGGTCCGAGAAGACTTGAGCTCCATGTCTCACCTCCTCAAAAAGGTTAACAATGATCTAGGGTTCCCGATTGTTCGCCTATGGGCAGACGCTGTTTCAGTCCAGCAAACATCCATAGAACAAAGATTGTACATTTCACAGGCTTTTGCTGCTTGGTTTACTCATTTTTATTTGCCCCTTAAAGATCTATCTCCGTCAAGTTTTTCATGTACAGATTTGCTATCTGATGTGTTGTTCGGAATTAGTAACCATCTTTCAAGCGCCAGACAAGAGATTCGTATTATGGGTATGGTTGTCGGAGAGCGTGTCATGGAGTGCTTTCCGTTTGAAACCAAACTAAACGACGATTGTCATCTCAAATTTGACTATGAAGAAACGGATCTCGTGCAATCCATCAAAATGTCTTTCGTTCCTGTGCAGCCATTCGGTTGCGACGAGGATTCACCTATTGCGCCAACTTCGCGAGGTACGCTTTCTGCTCTGTGTTGCACATGCTTTTGATAACGGTTTGTGTGAAACTGTTTATATTGTGAAAAAGTAACAAAATTAGATTTAATCAGTTGCTTCAGTGTGAAGTTTTCACTTATTTATTTGATAAATATCTTCCAATTTGCCCATTTCCTCGGTCTTGATCATGCTTTCTCTCGCTTATTCTGTTTTTGCAGACACTCCTCCACCCGTCGCGTCAACAGCTCAATCCACTGACCAGGTCTTGGATTCGGATGATGACGCAGAGGCAGAAGATGGTGTAATGAACTTGCTGCCCCAACTGAAATCCACCAATCTCGGAGTAAACTCAGTTTCGTTTGGCACACGCAAGCCGCGGTATTTACGCGAATGCCTAGACGGAATGCTTTTAAGCAAACCAGAAGACCATCACATTCGTCTGATGTGCTTCTCGGTTGTCGCTGACCTGATTCGCGAGCATCCAACGGCGGCAAAAGAATTAGTTGTTGATATTGCCAGCGCGTTGCTTCATTCACAACCGGCCACGTTTTCCGATGAGAGTACAATTTTGGAAAGTCAGCATGCTGGGCTGGTTGCGCTAGGTGTGGTGGCTCCTAAAGACTGCTCCCGTTATTTGATAAACGAATTCACACAGATCACCTGTTCTTTTGGCCAGCGTCAAAGAATATTGATGGCACTTACTGATATTGCTTGTGAACTTTCAAATGTCCGTGTGATTTCAGAGGCTCTCGAGAAAGTTCGTCCATCAGTTGAGGTTAACACCCACTCCCTACCTGCCCAAGAATCAGGACCTAAAACCCGCCGTTTTTGTAGCAAAAGGCCGCCCGAAGAACAGCGTGTGAATACATTTATATCTGTGGCCGGTGATTTCTTCTTTCCTTTGTTAAATAGTGTTTCTCAACTGTATTCTGCTTCACAGAAGGGATGTTTTGCCCATCAAGACTCGGCTATACTCACCCAGTTGATAGCAACGCTTGGCACTATTTACGCTTGTGCTCATTCATCTCCCATTCAGGGACGTATGGCACGCGAGTACTTGTATTTACTACCCATGATTTATTGTCATTTGGAACCTACCGTTCGTCAGGCATCATTAATAGCCTTGGGGACAGTGGTCACCACAACTCCATCTGCTATCCTATCCACTGAGCCCACATTTTTCCTTGAGGACAGTACACCGACCGGTACCGGTTCTTTCAATTTGATTGGCTGGTTAAAACGATGCCTGGCTCGTGACACAGATAATGAATGTCGGGCACTAGCCTCATCCACTTTAACGGCCCTCATCGAAAGAACTTGTGAGGCTATCTCTTCGTAAAGTATTGATTTTTCATTGGTAACTTTCACAGTCAGCAGTCGCAAGATACAATCCTTTTTGATAATTGTAGTTATTTTTAATTGGTTTGGTTCTTTTTTCCAAGCCAACTGTGTTGAATGTTGTCTTCTGTTTTTTTTAAATAGCATCTGCAACAGCCAGTGCATAATCTCACTATTGCAGTTGTTTTATTTTCACATTGCTTATTTAGGCCTTATTGAGCGAATTACATAATGCCCCAAAGGACACTTGCTGCTGTGCTGTGCTGTCGTCCAGACAGTAAGGCTGTCTACAATCAGAGGTATTACTGTGCCTCTTTTTTAAATATTTTTTTATTACACAAATTTGCATGTTGATGAGTGGACCCCATAGTCACGAGCACCTACTGTTCATTGACGGAAACCGGTAATGTAAACCTCGGGACTGTGAGGGGCAACCCACATAAGGGCTTGGTATTGGACCGGACGATAGCAAAGCTGCCTGCTGCCAAAGGTGGGTGGACGTGGCGGGGTTTGAACGTCGGACCGTAGGGTGCAAAGCACACCGGTGGCAGCGACTAAACCACTGCACCACCACCACCCCAAACTGTTATCTTGAATATCAGTCCCCAACAAAACTTATTTTCTATTCTTTTCACTGAAGGCTTTTGCATTTCTGACAGATTTATCTGTCATCTGTGCTTCGGAATTTCCATTTCATGGTTGATCGAACTTCTCTGCATGTTGTGCGTGCTTGTATCTTAAGTTTTGTAAAGTTAGGGGTAAGATGCAGATACGAATTTTCATATACTGGAATTTTTCCTCATAGTTTCCATTTGGGATTTGTTGGGATAATCTTTATACCAAGGCCACAGTTTCCGTATTCCCACTGAATTAAAGTTCATGTTGCATTCTCATTGGCCTTGGTGCAAAATGTTTGGCAATACGGATCGCAGAACAACTTTCTTGAAGAATGTTTGTCATTTGATCTGCGCATCATACGCTTGAATTCGAGTAAAGCGATTTCGACTATCTAGAATCAATATTGACATTTTCGTTACTTTCAGGTTCCCCACACTCATCTTGTCATTTTCGACCAACTTCCGTAATACAGTCATACTGCTCGATTTATCTGAGTCGCCATACGTTTTCCTCTTATCCTTCAACGGTTTACTACGATAGGCATTTCTCCATATACCGAGCTGACGAGTTTCAGTTTTTATAACCATCAACCAAGCACTTCAGTGCGCCCGTTTTGGTTGCCCATTTGGATAAAAGAGCAGAATAAGGATCGGAATGTTGAGAGCAAATTCAACGGGAAGATGATCCATAAAGACTGAGGTTGCAAGAATAATGAGTAGATGCAGTGGTGCCTCTGTTTGTGACTACCAGCCATATCACTACGGTTACTATGGTCCAGGGGGTCTGATGACAAGTCTCAGTTTGACCGCCCTCGAACCTAGCAGGAGCCTTTGACTCAAAAGTCTGACCCACAAGGCAACGGGAAACCGCACTGAACAGCAAAATATACCGCAGTATTTAACCCTGCTCACTACCACAAGTAATGGGCTACTCCCGAGCTCGAGGTATGCAAAACGCAAACCCTGCTGCCTAGAAACGCCTTCAGGTTGGTCGACACGATGTAGTAAAACTCATCCTTTAAATTTTATTATGAAACACATGGCTGCTCATTTTGAATGTAGCCTTCTGGGGTTATAACTTAATGGAAAACGCATGGAATTCAACAAGTTTTGGAACGAAACTATGGAGGTTACAGTAGGATTTTGAAATGGTTTTTTTTCGCAATACAGAAGGGAGAGTCTCACCTCATGTAAGGGCTTGACTGTCGAGTGTCCAGTAGTTCCATCCACTTTGACGGGTTCTATAACTGCGTTAATTGTAATCGCTGTTAAAACTCAAGATTCATAACTTTCTGTTAAACCCCTGAAATGATGAAACTGTTGACTAGTGTTATCTTCGATCCTCACGGTATTGCGAGGGTCACTTCCCTTATAGTTTCTCAAAATGTAGTCGATATTTATGCTTTCTTTTGTGTCTCTATACCCTACTTATGACTCGTTCTGTCTCTTTTCCAGCTAACTACGAGATACTGAACTTTCTGCTCCGTGTGTTATTTGCAGAACACTGAAAACTGAACCCTCGATAGTTTTGAGTACAGTCCCCATGAAAGACTTTCTGGTAACCAGTGGAGAAAGCCCGGCAGATTCTAGCCTAGAGGCGATCAAACCGACTTCAGCGTCACTTGTTCTCAATGGTGGTCTGCCTTTTTCGTCTCTAGGCCTACAGCCGACAGAACGTCTGGTTCACGTGGAAGTCTGTTTACAACCGTTCTGCGTCGAAAGTTCTTCCGTAGTCGAATCACATGTTGTTCAGTTCATTCGAGAACTTGGCCCTCGGCAAATACCCACAATGTTAAACAATTGTGAAAATTTCTGTTCCATGGTCACTTCGCAAGCCATCGATCCACAAACCATCGAGTGTTTACAGACTTGTGTGAACAACATCAACGTAAGTATGTTAGTTCTGTTGATCTCTCCCCCCCCCCTGTTCCACGCGCATGTGACCGTGCACGTCCGTCTGGCATAGGCACGAATACTGACATTAGATTACTCTCCTGGGGACGTCTTTCGCCTGTCAACAAGGGGCTTTTTGGAAGAAACTGTTTTACTCCCTTTTAATGTTTGCTGAATTATTACTGCTACTGATTGTGTACTGTCAGTCAGTTTAGTTGGGTGGTGTTGGTGGTGGTCAATTGGTTTAATTCGATGTCACCGGAATGCTGTGGGCCCTAGAGTCTGAGGTATAATCCTTACCACCACCAACCAACTGCTGTGGTTTCAGCTTTTACAATCATTAACCATGCACTTTCATGCGTCGATTCCCGTTGCTTTCTCATGACTTCCCAGTCGGCTGAAGGAATAGAGAGAGGATTAGAGTGTTCACAACAGTGTCAGAGTTAGAATAGAGAATTCATGAGGGCTAAGTTTTCCTGTGATAATGAGTGGGTGCACCAGCGCCACTGTTTACGACACTCAGGCGTAGCATTTGATCACAAAGATACCGATGTCCCTATCCAAGAAGCCGAACGCGATCTATATGAGCAAGTCTTCTGGTCCAGGATTTCATACCCTCAGCCAAGTGTTTGAGCACTGGGCGACCGCAGTTACCTGAATCTTTGAGCCTGACCTCAGCATTGCTTGTCCGGTTTCCCCACCAGACTCGTGAAATGCGACGTATACGGTGATAGCTGAACACTGACAGTCTATCTTTATCCTGTTTCCCTATCCCTCCGAAACGGTAGGTGGAATCAGGTGGTGTTTGACAATCAAAATGGGCTGCCAAAAGAAAGCAACCAAAAGCGACTCACGGAGATGCATGTTTAAAGGTTGTTTTAAACAGAACTGATAAATCTATTCAATTTCCTCTTCCATTTGGTTTTCTCTTGGAAATTTACTCCTATTTCTGAACGAATCCCTAAAGTAAAGTAATGACAACGAGGACTTAATCGTACAATGTTGCTACCAAGGAATGAATTTTTGAGTTAACAGAATCAAGTCTGTGGTCAGCGGAGCTGGATGCTACCGAGCTTATCCAACTCTTGAATAGGATAGCAGGAAAATTAGGTTGAGTAAGTGTCTCCCGCCTTCCAGCTTGGTGTCCAAAAGATTCTGCAAATGGTTGAAGATTATGGCAAAGCAGTGACGTTCCTGTGGTCACTTCTTATGTAAGAATTCTTGAAAAGGCGTGTATGGATATTTAGGTTGTGTACTTTGTGTTTTGACCGTAGAGGTTTACTATCTTTGCCTCCCTCCAATTAGACCAATCCGTCCTCCTTTTGTGTTCTCTCTTATCTTGTGTACATTGTGAGTTTGGGAGCGATAAGCGAGGTTCACTTCTCTGTATCTTGCTGTATGATACTGATGATGGTGAATGTTAATTTCTTCGAAAGGGCACCATATTAGAATGATGGATATCCTTGTTTGGTGGATTTTCATCCAAAAGGTGAATGAACCGCCGGATAAGTCACCGGCGATAACCACCATCACCACCTGGTTGCTCATGAACTATAGAGGTAGCCACTCAAATAGAAATCGGATTGACACCGGGAACGTCAATTCGTAGAAAGTCCTCATTTTTCTTTGTGTTTTCTCGGTCTAAAACTCTTCATGCGCAGGCTACAGTGTCCTTGGAGAGCAACGTGTCGTGTGCTCACTCGGCAACTGGTATTTCCAATCAGCTAGAGGTCCGTGTATCACCGTGCGCTTTCTTCACGACCGTGTAATAACTTGTTCTCCTATCGGCACTAGAAAGCTCCTGAAGCGTACGCGGATAAACCAAAATGTTCTAACGGATAACTGTGATTGTTATTGAGTAGCAATCGTTGAGAATAATGAAGTCAACAAAGCCATGATCTCATGAAATCCATTCTTTTCCGATGAAGCCCCTCTTATTATCGCTCGTCGGTCTACCGATTTTCTCGCTCTGCCATTGCGTGCATGGTCAGCAGTACTCGACCACCTTGGAAACAGCTGTCACTGGACATGACGGAGACTTTTGATGACGCCTTTCTGCAATTCTTCATCTAATTCCTCTTCTCACCCGGTTAACCAGTAATAACGATTGCCGCTCCTGCCTCAAGATCTGCTTGAACTCTGGTCTTCGTTTTGCATCTGCTTGAAGCTGTTACACTTATGTTTTCTTCAATACCAGCAATACCTCCTTTATATCCGTTTCTCTTAAACGCGACTCTCTCTCTCTTGAAGTTTGGACTCAAATATTATCCGACTCACTGATTCATGCAACTTTTTTGGGGAGTGTGTCTTCATCTCGTTTACGCTCACCTTACATTTATTTAATTGACTCCCATACTACTCACAAGATCAAGTTTCTTTCCCGTTTTAAGCGTTTTGTTCACTTTCGCTCACTTTCTATCAAACAATCACAGATTCGCCCTACACTTGATTACTAAAGTCATGCGAGAGGTGGAGCCTAATCTGCCTCTCATTCTCTTTGCGGTCGGAATTCAATGTGGAGCCATTCACCTCATCAACAGCCCATCTGTAACATGCAGTTAGTGAGCAGTTATTATTTCACCGATTAACCAGTCAAATCCTTTCTGCGGGGACTATTTTTGTTTCTTCGGTCGTTCATCTCCTTTGGTCTGATAAATTATTAAACTACTGATACATTGTTTTTTGACTAGATACGTTTTCAAGATAATCGTTGAAATATTCTCATTGTTCGCTTAAAAGCCTATGTTTGTATCAGTTTATCAGTGTTGAAGGATTATGATAAACAATCGAAAAGAAATCCTATTTTCTATTGCCTTCTCAGTTCATCTCCCAAATTATATCAGTTGCCGTTTCCTCGTCCATACAAATGCTGTTTATACTAGAGGAAGTTGAACCGTACAATTTGTATTCAACGTTTACATCATAGGACTTGACTACCGCACATACCATCTTTGTTCGTTCAGCGCGCAATTCAGCTTTTATGCGCGACATTCTATCTATCTGTCTGTCTACTCCATACCCGCATCTTTGGAATACTACAGATTCTGCTAAATGAGTCTGATGTCAAAGACGGATTCGACGCTAGCCGATCAGTCGATTTGCGTACAGCTACCCTAGTCGTGCATGTGTTCCAAATGGTCACGGGTGACGAGGCATTACCGGTACAGGAAATATTGGAATTCGGATCGGAAACAGTGAACGCGGGTACCGTTTGGTTGCTTCCCTCGATGGCAATGCACGGTTTGTGGGAGTCACTGATCTTCGACACGGACATCAAATCCGATTTGTTGGAATATGCTCAAACAGCATTGCTATTTGCCGAAAAACAGGTACGCCCTTCGATCCGATTCTCACAGCCTGTTACTCTTCGTCACTGTAGATCGCGGCCTCAATCATTGCGTGGAATCGAGTTGTTCTGTTGTACGGACCACCCGGGACTGGTAAAACTTCGCTCTGTCACGCCTTGGCCAACAAGCTGGCTATCCGTATGTCCGATCGCTT